AAGGGGGGGGGGGGGCGATGCCCCTCCTGCGCCCCTCCCTTTCCGGCGTACCGGCTTTGTGCGTATATAGAGTTTATGAATTATGTATATATCCATGACAAAATGTAGAGACACTTTATACCATTCACGTATAATAGAAAAATTCTTTGCTAAAAACCTTATCTGCTATTATTCAAGCGGCAAGGTATAAAAGGCGGGGTAAATGCATGGCTATAGAATTATATAGAAAATTATATGTTCAAAAACATTCTCGTGCAGACAGAAAAGGAAAAGCATAGATGTCTTATAATTTCATTAATAATTCATGAGCAATTCAGCCAATGATCACACCTATTTGATCACAACATGCCATTTGGATAACCCGGTGAATTTTGATGAATGTCACTAAACCGTCACTAAACCGTCTATAAATAGTATAGAATGAATAAAATGGACATTCAATGTTCATTTGAGTATTTGGCTAGTGTCCAAATGCCCTTTGCCGCCAAAGACCTCAAAGGCGCTACGAGCCTACGACTGTTGAAATTAACAAGTAAATCAACGCAAAGTTTATACCGTTTCCAGATAACAACAATTTACTGACATATTATAAGATTATCTCAAATTCATTAATAATTCATGAGCAATTCAGCCAATGATCACACCTATTTGATCACAACATGCCATTTGGATAACCCGGTGAATTTTGATGAATGTCACTAAACCGTCACTAAACCGTCTATAAATAGTATAGAATGAATAAAATGGACATTCAATGTTCATTTGAGTATTTGGCTAGTGTCCAAATGCCCTTTGCCGCCAAAGACCTCAAAGGCGCTACGAGCCTACGACTGTTGAAATTAACAAGTAAATCAACGCAAAGTTTATACCGTTTCCAGATAACAACAATTTACTGACATATTATAAGATTATCTCAAATTCATTAATAATTCATGAGCAATTCAGCCAATGATCACACCTATTTGATCACAACATGCCATTTGGATAACCCGGTGAATTTTGATGAATGTCACTAAACCGTCACTAAACCGTCTATAAATAGTATAGAATGAATAAAATGGACATTCAATGTTCATTTGAGTATTTGGCTAGTGTCCAAATGCCCTTTGCCGCCAAAGACCTCAAAGGCGCTACGAGCCTACGACTGTTGAAATTAACAAGTAAATCAACGCAAAGTTTATACCGTTTCCAGATAACAACAATTTACTGACATATTATAAGATTATCTCAAATTCATTAATAATTCATGAGCAATTCAGCCAATGATCACACCTATTTGATCACAACATGCCATTTGGATAACCCGGTGAATTTTGATGAATGTCACTAGTGTTTTCATCAAATATCTTAATTACGCATGCAAAATTATTTGAATAGAATTTCTAATTACGTTTTGCTTGGTTAAGAATTCTATTCAAATCAGCAAACGAAAACATTCTGTTACGCCTCGATTCATTTGAGAAGCCATATAAACAACTCGAGCTCGTGTCTCACCCGGATATCCAAGATATAGTGTTTGGATATCCGGGTGAGACACGAGCTCGAGTTGTTCATATATTACATATATGTGTGAAGCAAAGGCAGAGCAGAAACGTGTGAAATGAAAGTGCCTTTTACAAGAGCGCTCAAGCGGCAAGCCCCGAGAGATCACAAAAACAATAGACAGGCTGCAAATAAATATCTGACTTGACAGGACATTTGTCCAATCACTTTTAATTTTGGTCGGACATAACTTGAATTTGGTCGGACAAAAACCAACACCACTAAATTTGGTCGGACATATCACATATATACGTCACAAGATATATATTTGTCACGAGACAAGTATGTATAGCCATTCCGGCGCAATGTTACTGTAAGTAAAATGCTAGAATACCTTGTAAATTTTATTGCAAAATGCAAATTGAGTGAATTTGCAATCGGATTTTGTCACAGCAAAAAAATGTATGATGTGACAATTCTTTTTGTGATCGGACCAATGTCCGATCAAAATCACTTTTGCTCGGACATTTGCCAAATTTAGTCGAACATTGTCCGATGTCCGACAGTTATTTGCAGCCCTGATAGAGCATATGATCATACGTTTTTATTGCTTGATTTCCAGACTTGTTGCTATAAAACTATGTATAGCATACTATTATAATTTAAGGTGGCTCCCTGCACTTAGAACAATTTTGAGTAAAAATAAGCTGTAGACACCAAAAGTAATATCTTAACATTAGTAACCATTTTCTGTAATTTTTGGCAAAAAGCTTGGGCTTTTTTAAGCTTTGAACTTAAACTATACCGCACAAAATATGTCAAAAATGCGTTTCTATGGCAGCAATGTCGTATGGAAAGACAAAAGTTTGACATAACTTTAGTTTCCTTCGGTGAATTTTTTTAAACTTTTCTGTACAAATTCGGATTACAGGGGTAAAGAATATATATAAAAAAATAAGGCAAATTATACAACAAATTTTGAAATAGTATCAAATTTTGTTCCAAAAAACTGCTGTGTAGATTTTTTTAATCTTTAGATATGTTGAAAAACATGATATATGCATTAATTATACAAAAAATTAAAAAAATTGACCGAAGAAATTTAAAGAAAAACGAAAACAAAAATAGAAAAACTTACGCGGCCACACAGTATTTCAAAAAGACAACAACAGTATCTGTGCATGTTCGTGTTTTGTTTGCGTGATGTTCCCGCAGCGTCACGGTTTATTACCTCCGCCAGGAGGTTATGTAATCATCTGGGTTTGTATGTGTGTGTGTATGTGTGTGTGTGTGTATGTGTGTGTGTATGTGTGTATGTGTGTGTGTGTGTGTGTTTGTCTGTGAGCACGATAACTCAAGAAATACCAAACATATCCGTACGAAATTTTGTGAGTACATTTTCCATCGGCTAAGGAAGAACTGATTAAAATTTGGTTGAATTTGGTTAAAAATTGATTGAGAAATAACAAAAGTTTGTCTTGCTTTTCCCGGTCAATTAAATAAAACTTTATACTGAATGCGTAATTAGGACGTGCATAATATATGCACCAGACATACAAATTCTAATAACAATAGATTACTTCAATAATTTGCGCTAGGCAGAGGTATGCAGTCTCTGAGTGCCCTCTAGTTGTTTATGTGATGCTTCGAAATGGCGCACGATTGCAAGCAAGATTTTCTTCGTTTTTGTTACCCGTGGCTTTTTGAAACCGGGAGGCGATGTAGATAACACTCGAACAAGTCCTTTTCTGTCAAATTTGTCGAAGATGTTTTTCAAGTTTGCATAACTCAAGCCGCTGCCGGCGATCTTTTCTACCATGCATTTGCTGATCGTTGATTTCCCACAACTGTTGTCGTATAAAAAGACTTCCAAATGTTTCGGATAATTTGTGTCGTTTACAAAGGTAAAGATTGTCGTCGTAAGCTTCGTTGAAAGATATGGGTTTGCAGTGATTTAACAGATCCCTGGAGGAAAGATTTAGCCGTGATGAAAAAAGTATTCGACGTAAAGCTTTGACATCCTCTAGAGCGTCGTGGGCGTTGAAATGTTGATTGAATAGAGCCATGTAAACTGCAGATTGATTCAACG